CACTCTCGACGCTGAAAGCCTCTGATGACTTCATGATGTCAATCACGAAAAAGATCACGTAAGTGTCACAGCCTTTGAGTAGGCACCGATATCTGTGGGGATCGGGATGAGGGTGTCCACTTTTTGCGCACTCAAGTCCGCGAAGGTGCTCGCGGAATCGGCGCAGAATTCCAGCACGCATCGCAGATGAACGCGTTAGTATACCTTGGCCGATGCATAGGTTCTTAGAGCCCAACTGGTAGAGAATACTAAGGTCACGTTTGTCCTGCATACTAGTGCCAAATCCACATAGAAGCTGAAACTCGAAAAGATCAAATAACTGAAGGGTATGATGAAAACGTGCTGCTCCACGTCGAGAGAGAGACTCTTCCATGCTGGGAGTAATCGACCGACACAGCCGATGTGCTTCCTGCTGCTGTCGTCGGCCCGCGGCCCACATAGCGCGGATTCGCGCGAAACTGAAGCAGAAAGTCACCGCATATAGTGTCTGGAAGAAGTCGGTACCCAAGACGAGGCTAGATGTCCGTAACACCGCAAGCATATATGTCTGGATTGTGATGAGTCCTGTGAGGAAAATCGACGACGGCTTTTCTGAGATGAGATTCCAAAAACTGGCGGCACAAAGGGCGCTGAGGTGGACAGGAACTTGATACTTAGAGGCTAGGGCCTTCACTAGTGGCAATGAATGACTCCAACTGCTGATGCCAACAATCTGCCGTCGTAGATTCAGGCTGAGAACCCGTCCAGGCACACGTGGATCGAGGGGTTCACGGCGAGCCGGAAACTGATGGGTTTGTTCGTCCCCCCCCCCCTCCTGTAGTGTGCCGTGAGCTCCAGACATGCTCGCATGGAGTATACGCCAGAACAGTATGTTAAATCTCATATGTATGAATCGTGGGCGTCGCGTCTGCGGTGCAGAGCTCCTGTTGGGAATCCCCTCCACTCCGACACGAACGCACTCTGAAGTGCATAATTTAGCAAGACCTGCGATGAGTATCATTCCCCTGAGGCCTCCGAAGACTTCCAAGCAGCTCCAGCCCCACACAAGGATGCAGTGAGCGAAGCTCGTCAGAATTCAAAAGCCGTTGGCGATGATGAATATCATGATCAAGCATGTTTTCCTGCAAAAGAAAACGCCATTTATGTATGAGCTTGCTCAGACCCACGTACGCGCGCGGCCTCACAGGGGCCTCGAGCGCTAGCCTAAACCTGAACAGCTCTGGAATGAGAGAAAAAAATAAATGCGAGAGAATGGCAGTGGGTGCTGACGACAGTGCTGGGATTGGTGCTGGCAGCGCTGGCGCAGGCGCTAACTGGCCTCGGGCATGGAACAGAGACTAGAATAAGCACTGAGAATACACACACGCACACGCACATATTCATATATATATATATATATATATATATATATATATATATGTAGATATATATATATATATAGATACATATATATATACACAAATGTGTAACTACATGCAAACAATAATACGTAAACTATAAATATGAATACAAAATAAATTTTAACAAACAAAAAAAAGCCAATGGCGACCCCGGGGCCCGCGGGGCTGCCATGGCCCGCGGGGCTCGCAAGGCCCAGAATCCCGACGCGGCCCCGACGACTCAAGGGGCCCACGGGGATTGCGCGGCTCGACGGGCTCGCGCGGGGCTGTGAGCCCGCGCGCGCCGCGGCGCCCACGCGGCCGCTGAAGCCTTTTTTTTTGAAACTTGCGGGGCTCATGGGGCCGCGGCCCACGCGCCGCGCGCGGCCCGTTGAAATCTTAAGAAGTTCATCGGAGGAACTAGAAAAAGCCGCGTTGCTTCCACTCGCGCAGGGCTGACGCCCATCGACGCGGGACACGCGGGCCTGAAGACGCGGGCGACGGCTTCCAGCAAAGGCTATGAAGTTCTACTTCCCAGAGGGGATCTCGGCCGCGGCGCGGGGCTCGGGCGCTCCGACCATCGGAGTCTCGTCGTTCCCCTGATCGCAGATGCAGACGCATCAGACTCAGCGGCTTCGGCCCCCGGGGCAGGAGCTCTTCCCCGTTGCCTCCGGGGGGCGAAGTTCGGCCCCCATCGCGCGCTGCCTTTCTTCGACCAGCCTTAAAGCTGATCCCCGCGTCTTTCTGTCCGCTCCGCGAATATCTCTGCGATTTCTTCTCTGCGCCTGGCTGCCTTGGCCCTGGCCCGACGGGTCGCCCCCTCGGGAGATCCCCCCGCCCATTGAATTTGCTCTTAGTGGAAACCGCGGCCACGGGTCGCAGGGAACGGCGCTGCCACCAGCTGACGCCAGTGCCACATCCACCCCAAGTTGGCCTTTCCTGCCGCGGCGCGCTGCAAGGCCGCGGGCGTCGCTGCCGCCTGGCGGGCAGAACTCGCGCGCTCCGCAAGAGACCGCTGGTTGCGCAGTTTGATGACGCGTGCCTTCTCGGCTTGGTCATTGTCCTGCATGCCCAGTTCCATGGCCATCATTTCACCCCTCTGACACTAGACCATCTGCTCGGCCTCGAACTGGGCGGCTCGAGTCTCACCGCTCTCGATCGCCATCGCCTCGTCGGCTCTGGCTAGAATCGCCTCGCCGAGTCAGGCAGCCAGCCCGGATTCGCACTTGCCGCAGGCAGACGCATCGCGCTCTGGGCTTCGGGATGCAGAACCCGGCATGGGCGCATTCAGCCCCCGCATGGATCGCGGCGCCGGCGTTCTCGCGCCCGGCCCTCCTCTCGGGCATCTCAGACGCCCCAGCACGAGATGCCTCCAACTACCGCGCCCAGAGCTACAAATGCTCCCCGATGTTCAAAACTGTGGCCAAAGCCCCCCTGCGCTGGGCGACCTGCCATTCGAGTTCCGCAATAATTGACTGGGGCAATGCACCGCGCAAGAAATTTGCACTGCGCCCTGTCCACGTGCGGGGCATTCCCAGCGCGCGGGCCTGGCGCAATTTCCTGCTGGGACTGGGCACCGAGATTCAGGAGCGCCCCCGCGTCAGGGCGCGGGCTGCCAGCAAACGCCCTTCACAAGGTTCATGCTGGCGTTTGAAACACTCGACCTGACGTTGTTCTGGTCGCTTCTGGCTCGGGACAACAGAGCCTTATCCAGGCTCTTCCGAGATGTGTTCGGCCGACCCTTTTTTCTGACATAACTGTCCAGCTGATATAATCAACACATGTTTTGAGCGGACCTTCCAGTACGGGCATGAATGACAAATGCGTCATCGTCCTCGAACTGTGGCGACCGTGACGGCACTGGGCGAGGTTTCCTAACCGATCTCACAAGTTCCTCAACGTCGTCACCTTCCCTCGTTCTCCCCGAATAGTGGAAACCTTGTTTCGGGCCACTGCCCCTCGTGGCAACAATGACGGAATGCTGACCAAACTCCACGAATCGGGAAGCGCACAGGGTGGGGCATCTGGGTTGGCTTCTCGATACCACCCCGCTGTTCCAATGAGCCCATCCCCGCGCTGCACAAGATCCAAACGTGCCAAGTTCCAGAGGCAACCTTCCGCAGGCAGAGTGGCGCGGCATTGTTTAAGAACCTGCTTGCCGATCTCTGCGTAATTATATTCTCCTGCGCACGGCGGGGATCCAGGGTCATCGCCAATGGCTAATTGGACGCGGTCCCCTTTCGCCCCCTTCGTCTTGGATTTGTCCGACGCGCGGGGTTAGATCATCAATCCCCGCCAAACCTTCCCCTGGGAGGTGGGTCCCATACGCTGCGACGCGCGCCCCTGGTTTTGTCCACGCATAACCCAAGTTCACGCATCATCGCGCCCAGGGAACGTCTTGGTGCATGTCCAACTCTTGCACGACACTCCTGGGACCGATCGGAAAACCGACGAAGGCAGCAACCCATGATCACGCCATCGCGGGAATTCGGATCTGAACTACTGCTACACTTTTCGGGAGTAGAACTCGGACGATGCTTGCAAAAATTCGCCTTTCGAAAGATCAAATTTGCGAAGTCGGCAACACAACCGTCTGGCATTACGCGCAAATTGCTCGCGGCATTGCAATTGCGATGGGAACTGTCACCTGGGCCAACGCACGGGACACCACCCTGCTCCATTTCGGCTGATAACATTTTGGTGAGAGGACCTGAACAGTCATCAAAAAACCTGAAGTATGCGACGTATACCTCCTTACTCACCTCGCTCAGGGGATGATATGTTTCTCGACGTTGACGGATGACATGGCGGCAGCGCGCGCTGACAGCGGGAGTTCCGAAGCGCGAGCCGCGCCTCTGACTCAGCGTATGCCACCTCTCTAGAAGCGTATCAAAGGGCTCGAACCAAACGTCGCAGCAGCGGACGAATGGATGATTAAATAACGCAGGCAGGAGTGAATGTTATCGACTCTCACGACCTCCCGAAACCTCCACCGCAACGATGTGTCAATGCGTAGAAATCCGCAAATTCCGGCCCTAAAATTCAGCACGCGGTATGGATTCATTCGCGCCATGGGCCGTTCGTATGTGAACCCGTAGGTGCGAGACGTGCCCACTGAAGCTCAGACTCAGGAGAGCTCGCCGTCACTTTCTAAGGGCTGGATTCTGGAGATGCAAGCGCATCCGACCCCCTTGGCAGCTGGCGAGCGCAGGGGGTCCCAGGAGTGGCAGAGGGCGAACTAAAAATTATGGAAACGAACGCAACCATTGTGAAAACAGAACGCGAAAAACAACAAGGCCTGACAGCACGGACGGACCCAAAATTAATCTGGAACTCTCCAGCCTCATGTTGAGAATCCCCTGGTCCGTCTTCGACATGGTCCCAATTCGCCCTCCCGAGGCCACCGACGTCGTGATTTGTTCATGACGTGGACACCCGGAGGCTTGAACCCCCTAGCGGAAACCGTCTTTCATCCTGAGTCGTTTCTTGACGGTCCCGAAACCCGGCCAGGTCCCCCAGAGGCCAAGCATGGCGGAAAACGTCGCGTCATGATTTTTGTCACGGCGCGATGGGGTCTGGGTCCAGTCGTCCTGGTCCGCCGTGCCCCCCCCAGGCCCAGTCCCGAACCGAGGTGCCGCCGATGCAGGCGTGGCACCGGACCGAGTGGTAGTCGCCCAGCGCGAGGGCAACCTTCTGGATCTGGTTCGCCAGTTCCTGCGGGGGCGGCCCCGGGGCGGCGCAGGCTCGAAGGGAGCAGGGCAGACCCTCGCCCTCCATCCCTGCTTCTCCGTCTTGGGGGGCCAGCTGACTGCGGGGGGGGGAACGTCGAGCTGGAATCGGCTACACATCGCCAATAGATGAGCAATAAGCCCCCGTTTGCTGATCCGCGCGTTCACGGGCAGTTGGCGGCGCGCACAACGGGGTGGCGCGAGGGGGGTGGCCTTCTGAGAAGGCGGCGCGCGGCTTAGAACGCAGGGTCCTTCTGAGCAGGGCCTGGAAGCCTCTGAGAAGTGCCATCTTAGAAGTCCAGAGGCCTTCCAAGAAGGCCCCTGCCTCTTCAGAAGCCCCCCGCCTGCCCCTTTGCGTGCGCGTCGCCAAGTCGTGGTAGGCCATGACATCGGGCCCCAAATCGGCGATGCATCAGAGAAACCAAAGGTACCTGTACCGCTACTCCCTGGACCTCTCCGGGGGTGCGTTCGGACTAGAATTTCGACGCGAATCCAGGTGGCGACGAGGGCCTCCCAGGAGGCCCCAAGAGAAAACGCGCCGAGGGTAGCGGTATCTGAGATTGGAAGTCGCGGCAACACCGACAGTGATGTCCACGTCCTAGCAGTGATGCGCCGCAGGGTGGCACGGGTCAGCGCACACGGCCGCCGAGAAGCCGAATGCAAGAGCATATCTGGTTGCCAATCACCGCTGGGGCCCCCTGGCGCCGCCTCCAGCCCCGCCCCTGGCACGCTCCGCGCGCCAGGGAGGGGGGTCCCAACGCCGATCCAAGAAATCTGCACGGACCCCTGACTTGCTATTGCTATGTTGATGTCATTGTTTGTTGCTCGCCTCTCACTGCTTCCACCTCAATGTTGTGACCTTTTCCCGATTCTGTGCACTTCAGTCTGGGTTTCGGCTTCAGCCGACTATGCGCTGCGAAGCGCCCTCAGGCCCACAGAACCGAGCCACTTTGTTTCCGATCGAACGGGTGCTGTCTCCCCACCTCGACGTCACACCACCAGCTTGTATCGGTGTGGCGATCTAGGAGTTTCGTCCCTGACCTCCTCGATACTACGACTGTTTGCTTGCTGTTGCCAACCTGCACAGATGGAGCCAAGATGGCTTTCAAACCTGGCTCTCGCTTGAAATTGCTTCTCATATTCGCCACCGTGCCTCGAGGCACTGAATGACATGTCCGAAGGCCCCTGAGAGTCAGAACGGGCCCGCAACCCCGTTTCTGGGCGCTCTCGTGGCTTCCCGCATCTTGTCGCGTCGTGTAGCGTGACTTTTTGGAAGCACGAGGGCCCCTGAACGGGCCGAGAGGGCCCCACCAGGCTCCCAAAATGGTTCTAAGGGTCCCGAGTCGCCCAAATATCGCCCAAATACACCCAAAATGGCCCCAAGACGACCCCCCGAGAGGGCTCCAAGAGGCCCTTGGAGAGAAATCCAAAAGGTAAAAGTCTTCGATGTTCCTGAGATGTTTGAATGATTTCAGCGTTCACGCCGTTCTGGGCTCCCGACGCCCCAAGACGGCCCATGAGGCCCCCAAGACGGCCCCAGACGGCATCCAGAGGGCCCGAAGAGGGTTCAAGATAGCGAACTCGAACTGACATGTCGAGACCCCCGCCCCAAAATGACACCCGAGACCGCCAGCAGGCTTTCAAGAAACTCCGGGATGCCCCTACGATGCCCAAAAGAGGCCCCAAGATGTCCCCAGCCATGAAGCCCCCAAGAGTCCCCAAAACACCCCACAGCCGCCTCCACGAGGCTACCCCGAGGATTCCCACGATCCCCACAGGCGTCCAAGACGCATTCGACCTACAACCGAAGCGCGGTGGCGGGCCGAGCGCCACTCACTCGACCTGCTTGGCACGGAGACGGAAAACGCAAGTGACTTTCTGATGGCGCGAGATCGCTGGCATGTCCGTTGTTCCTCCTCTTGCGCCCGCTCTTTACCTCGAACTTGTCGCATCCTTGGTGAATATCAGGGCCCTCTTAGGCAGTCTTGGGAGACCCGTTTGGGCCATCTCTGGGCCCTATTGACCCGTCTTGGAATCCATTTGGGAGCCTCGTGGGCCTTCTTGGAGCGATACCAAGACAACGTCGGCAACATCTCCTGGTTATGAGGAGAGCCCGAGAGAAATTCACATGTAAGGCAAGACCGAATCCACGACGTCGTCGACAAAACCAACATGTTGGGCAAGAAGAGCGATGTCGACAACATCTTGATTGTGCGTGGTTGGCCCCAACCAACCCGCCACTGTGGGCAAGACCGGTACCGAGACGACGTCGATAACAGCCTGTCCCATATTTTCTGGGCCGGCCGCCATCGGCCCCGCCCTCCCAGATGACGTCACGTTCTGCGCCGGCGGCGTCTGGGAATGCCTAGGGATGACCGAGGACGGGTAGCAGCAGCATGTGTGTGGCGATCTGCACCACAGCGCCTGTGTACACCACAGTGCTTGCGTGCACCACAGCGCATGTGTACACCACACCGCCGACATACGCCACAATACCCGTGTGCAACACAACGTTTGTGTACACCACAATGCTTGCGTACACCGCCGTACCTGTGTATACCACAGCGATTGTGCACACCGCTGCAACCACGTGCAACACAGCGCCTGTGTGCACCACAGTGCTCGCGTGCACCACAGCGCGCGTGTACACAACAGCGCTTGGGCACACCGCATCGGCCATGTGCAACTCAGCACCTGTGTACACCACAGTGCTTGTGTGCACCACAGCGCCTGTGTACACCACACGGAATGTGCACAGCGCAGCAGTCATGTGCAACACAGCGCTCTTGTACACCGCAATGCTTGCGTGCACCGCAACGCCTGTGCACACCACAACGCCCGTGTACACCACAGCACCCGCGTGCAACGCAGCGCTGGTGACCACCATCGCGCCTGCGTGTGCAGGACATGTAGAAGGAACATGTAAGAATCATCTGCTGCGGACAACTAAACGCCTCCTCCCTCCCTCCTCCCTCCTTGTTCCTTGTTCCTCCCTTTTCTTTCTCCTCCTCCTCCCCCTCCTCCAATCCTCCTCCTCCCCCTCCTCCTCTCCTCCTCCGCCCCCCCTCCCCCTCCTCAGCCTCCCCCTCCGCCTCCTCCTCCTCCTCCTCCTCTTCCTTTTCCTCCTCCTCCTCCTCCTTTTCCTCCTCCTCCCTCACCCTTCCCACGTCGTGCGGGTCGGCGCTACAAAGCACGTGCGCATCTCAGCGTGCACCGCACAATGGTCGACTGAATCAATCCACGTGGTTCTCCGACGGCAAATTCTGCGGGAGCCGTCTGGTCGCAAATGGGGGAGTCAGGATAATGCTGGATGGCTCGGGAGGATTCTCAGATTGCAGCGGTGCTGCTTTTTCCACAGGGATTCCTTTCCATATCGTATGTTCAGCATGTGTCCCCTGTGGAACAGGCGCTCGATGTTGTCGTATGGACTCAGCTTGAGTCTCTCTCTCTCTCTCTCTCTCTCTCTCTCTCTCTCTCTCTCTATATATATATATATATCTATATATCTATGTATATAAATGGTGTTCTGTCGCGCACGGGAGCTGTGGTGCACATAGGCGGTGTGCTTACACAGGCACTGTGGTGTACACAGGCGCTGTGATGTCCGTAGCCACTCCGGCTCAAGATGCCGCGTCTTCCGCGAGGCGGCGTGGACACCGCTAGTCCGCGGCCATACCTTGCTGTCTCTTCCTCGGTCGAGATGCGCGCTGCCGAATGGTCTCGCTCCACCCAGTTTTGCCCCAGGACATCTGGCCAACGATGATTTTCTGGAGGTGCGGTGGTTGCGGCGCCTTCAATCCGCGGAGGCAGGCCAAGTGCGCGCTCTGCGAGCAGAGGCGGCCCTGCCGCTACTGGTCGCAGGGGCGCCGCCGCGGCGGGGGTGGCAACAGCGCCGGCGCGGGCGTGGGCAACGGCGGCCAGGGCGGTCGGAAGCCCTCGGCGCTGTGGGCTCGGAGCGCCGACGGCCGGCGCCCCACCGCCAACGCGTGGCACCCGCCGCGCGTCGACGACAAGCAGCTCCAGCGCGCGGCCGAGTTGCCAGCCGAGAAGTGGGAGGCCGGCAAGGAGCTCTTCGCGCAGGCGCAGGTCGACAAGGTCGAAGCCAGGAGGGCTGCCCGCGCCAGCGGCCTCTGTGCCGCCCGCGTAACCGCCGATGAGTTTTAGCGCATCGGCAAGAAGCTCAAAACGGAAAAAGGCCAAGGAGCAGCGCGTGGCGGCCGACCTCGCGGACCGCCTGCTCAAGCTGGACGCCCAGCAGGCGCTCGCCCGAGCCCTCCGCGAGTCGCGCGAGGAGGCCCGCGCGGCTGCCGCCTCGGCCTCCTCTGGTGCGGCCCAGCCCCCCGCGGCGAAGCTGCGCGAGAAGGAAGCCGCCCTCGGCGCATCAGGCAAAGGCCCCGCGGCCCACGGTCAAGGAGCTCCTCGAGCAGGTCGCGGCCTTCGCCGAGGCTTCAGCCGCGCCGCCAGCCGCAGCCTCCGCCGACGTGCCCATGGGCGACGCGGGCCCGCCAGGTGGAGAGGCTGCTGCCCAGTCGCAGCAGCCCGCAGCCCCGCCGGCAGCGGCGCAGGCTGGGCTCAAGCCCGAGCTGGACGCCAACCGCCTCAGGGCGGCCCTGTCTGCGGCAGACCCTGCTGGCCTTCTTGCTCGCACTTCTGACGGCGAAGAGCGCAAGCGGCTCGGCGACGCAATGGCCCTCCTGCGCGTCGCGGCGGCCCTGGGCCAGCCACCGACGGCCCAGCAGCAGCTGCAGCGCCCCGCGCGGCTGCAGCTCCCGCCGCCCCCCAGAGCTAGGGGGCAGCCAGCCAGCGGCAGCGTCTGGCGCGGCCTCTCCCTGAACGCGAACGCCTTCGCCACGCTGGACCAGCTTCTGCGCGAGGGCGCCCTCAGGCAGTGCGACTTCGTCGCCGCCCAGGGGACTCACCTCTCCACCGACCGCGCTGCCGAGGTTGCAGCTCGATTGGGCCGACAAGGCTGGCGGGCCTTCGCCG